AAATGAAGCAAAAATGCTGGGAATTCAGAAACTACCATTTTCAAACAAACTCCTAATGGCAGAGATTTTCAAAGTACAGTCCTAACCCAGCAGCATTACTTAGGGACTGTTTTAGTTGTGCTTTTAAATACTTTCCCCTTTATTCACAATAGAGTACACAGGAGCGAGTAGGTGAGAGAGAGGGGTGGGGGGGCAAGCACCCTCTGCAAGGACTGGTCATGCCACGATCCCCTTCCTCTAGCCAGTCTGACCCTGGGCACTCGCACATGTGCCTGGTGCATCTCATGCTGACCAGGCCAGGAATTTAAACCAGAGTCACCAAATGGGATGTGGCTTCTCCCGAGTAGTGTATCTCTGTCTAGAGTCAGCCTAGGGAACAGATTTTTATAAATCACACCAAAAATGTAAATTCTTAGGCTATAACCCAAACCTACTGATTCAGAAACCTGGGGATGGGGACAAACCATCAGTTTGCTTGTTAGTTATTGTTTTTGTTCATTTGTTTGTTTTGCCAGCGATAAAGAATGTGAGAAAGCAGCCCCCAGTAGGGGATGGTCACACATATTTCCCTCTATTTCTCCATCCCCTCAGGATCCGGTCCTAGTGTGTCTTTAAAGCCAACAGAGCCAGGACTTGTACCTCAATAAGTCATGTGGGATCTGGCTCCCTCTGCAATGGGCTTACCTGCACTACAGGGCTGACCCTCTGCAACCTGTGTGTTTAGCAAGCTGTTCTGATGTACAATATCAAGTTCTGATTTCTGATCCGATAGACAGAATCAAAGAATGTTTCCTTAATGAAAATAAGATGTCCAGCATTCATCAATAATGAATAACATGAACAATTAATAGAAAACTTTACAAGAGTGGGGAACTGAGATATATCATCACCTGAGCCATGAATCAATCTTACCACAAGTAAAAGTAGGACCAGACACACCTTCTTACACTACACAGTACAGAACAAACAGAACCGCCTTCTTCCACACCACCAAGAAAGTTGAACATGGACGTAATCAATGACATCTCAAGAAGAGGGCCAGCAGATGGTGTGGAGGTTAAGACAACTGTATCCCACATGGTCAACTGTGAGGTTCAAGTCCCAGATCTGGCGGCTTCAAAAACATGCTGTGCACATGTGCATATGTACCCCAAATCCCAAGAGGACAGAGAAAAAGAAGGGACTGTGATGTGGTCATCCCCCTGTTGGGTGATTTCTCACTTTCACTCCCGCCCTCACCTGAGTCTCTCTCCAGTGAGTGCATGCATCCTATAGCACAACTACAAAGCAAATTCAAAATGTGGAACATACTACATAACAAATGGGTTTCTGCCAAAAAGCAGTATCAGAGAGAAGGTAGGAAGATCTAGGTTGGCTCCAAAGTGGTGAAGGGAGCCAGATCTCACATGGCTGACCACAGTTCAAATTCTGGCCTCAGCAGATTGAAAAACATGTGGGGCATGTGAGCATATGTGCCCAAGATCACGACAGAATGAAGAAGGGATTGTGGTGTGATCAAAACCCATGGGGGGTGCTTTCTCCCTTACCTTCTCTCTGATAAGCACTCATACCCTCTGATAGTTAAAAAAACAAAGTAGGAAACCACAAAGAGATGTAATAAATGTAATGAAGTATATATTCAAAACAAAATAATGGTAAAAATATTCTTTCGGTTCAACCAGGATAATCTGATTATGACTGGTTATCAAGGAATTACTACTAATTTTACAAAGTGTGATAGCACTCAGGCTACTTAAAAAGGAAAAAAAATCCTACTTTTAAAAAGATGTACACTAAGTATATAAGATTTAAATGCCATGATGTCTGGGATGTGTTTTAAATATTTCAGCGAGGACCAGCAGGTGACATAGTGGTTAAGGCGCTAGACACTCCCACATGGCTGAACAAGGTTCAAGTCCTGAATCTGGTGGCTTGCTTTCATGCTTCCTCTTTCTCTCTGTCTCTCTCTCTGGTCAAATTAAAATAAATGAATGAATAAATAAAATTAAATAGATAATTTAAAAATAAATAAATAAATATTTCAGCAAAGAAAAACAGTATAAGAAGTAAATATGACAAATCTTTATAACCATAGATAGAATCTGAATGATGGAAAAAGAAAATATCGCTTCCCATTGTCTTAGCACAGCAGAGTTTCACAGCTGACATTTGGAAAGTGTGCCTGTTCTGTCTTACTGAAAATGCCTCTGTAAAACTACCTGGAATATAATCTGAGGTATAGTTTCTATTAAAATGACAATAGCTGCTGAAGTTATTAGGTCACTGGAAAGGTCATGCCACTTTTTGTAAAAAAAAAAAAAAAAGAAAGAAAAATATGTCATGACATTTCTGAAGACCCAATAGAGCATATGTCTCATCCCAGACCTATACTGTCATGCTTGCCTTTACTGCAATAATGTTTTATATTTTAATATAAAAATCTTCCATTGCATTGCTATAAGTAATCACTGAAAACAGCACAGGCTGGGGACCAGCAGATAACGTAATGGTTACATTGCTCGACTCCCACATGGTTGACAACAGTTCGAGTCCCAGACCCAGTGGCTTGAAACTCACACTGGGAACATATGCGTGGGTGCCCAAAATCCTGAGAAGAGAATGGAGGAGAAGGGATTGCACTGTGGCCATTCCTCCAGAGGGTGATTTCTTGCTGTCTGTCTTTCTCTGTCTCTCTGGTGAGCGCATACACCCTAAAAAATTTTCTCTCTAAAAATAAATAAATAAATAAATAAATAAATAAATACAATACAATAGCACAGGCTGGTCCATGGCCTAGTGGTTAAGGGAGCTGGATCCCACATGACCAACCAGTTTCAATCCTGGCCCAGTGGTTAGAAAAACATACCAGCCATGTATGTGTGCCTGACCAAAATCCTAAGAGGAAGGAGAAATGGAGGTAAAGGGTTTGTGATGTTACTGTGCACCACTGGGGGGGTCCCTTCCCCCACCCCCACAAGCTCTCATGCCCTCTGGAAATGAAAAAAACAGCAACACTAGGTAGTAATAAATAACACCTTACCACTGCACCAAAAAAACCTTTTCTTCTCTGATTATCTTCAGTCCCTTGCAATAAAATCAATTCCTATAGTTAGATACTTAAAATGATCTAACGTATGCCCAACTGCACAGGTAGTTCCACCACGTGGGAAGCTAAAAGCTAGCTACAGGGAGACCGTGGTTTCAGTTAGTAGGGACAGCCTGAGGACACTAGGTGCAGACATACATGGCTAGCTCATCGGGTGGAAAGACTGACACAATAAGACTGTCAAAAATACCTATCTCTTGGGAACCAGCAGTTAGTGTAATGGCTATGTCTCTGGATTCCCACGTAGTTGACCATGGTTCACGATCCGGACCCGGTAGCTTAAAACTCACGCTGGACACGTGTGCATGCGTGCCCAAGATCCCGAGAGGAGAATGGAGGAGAAGGGATTGCGGCATCACCATCCTCCCATGGTGGGTGATTTCTCGCTTTCTGTCTCTATGTCTCTGTCTGTCTGGTGAGTGCACGTGCCCTATAGCAAAAAGCCCTAAAAAAACCCCCAAAAAACCAAAAAAAAAAACCATAAACCTATCTCTTTCTCCCACCATCCCTATAAAATAAAAAAATAAATTAAAAAAATTAAGGTAAGTTCTTTCAACGAGTTGAAGTGTTCTATGACCCCCCCAAAAAAGGGGGGATATGACATCCCATCCCCTAAAAATCAGAGTTTAGTGTTTATCCAAAATAAATACAATTATGAACATTGAGGAAATCTTACTAATTTAAGAAAGGAAATTTTTAGGTCAGAATGGTAATTACTGGACATTGGCAAACGTATTCTCTACAGAAATCATTCTTTCTACACTATTATTTCAATAACAGAAATTAATTGGTCTAAATTAAATGGATGGTGAAAAAGAAACCTTTAGAATTTTTCAACATTGAAGATTTCCTTTTGGGACAGCAAATGGCATAAAAGTTACACCACTGGACTCCCCTATAGTTGACCGTGGTTTGAGTCCTGGAGCCAGTGCCTTGAAACTCACACAGGGCACATGTGCATGCATGCCCAAAATTAGAAGAGGAGAATGGAAGAGAAAGGATTGTGGTGTGGCCATCCCCCCCAGGGGTGGGGTGATATCACACTTTCTGTCTCCGTCTCTCTGTTTCTCCAGCAAGCACACACACCCTATAGCAAAAATCCTCTCTTGCTCTCAAAAAAAAAAATTCCTTTTAAGATAAGTGGATTTTTTTCTATGAAGGCTCTTTAACCACACAAGTAAAATTAATAGTTTATACAACTATCTTTACAACTCTCTCATTTTAAAGATAAGAAAATATCCCTCTAATAAGGATTTTGGTGTTGGTTTCTGGAGTTGCACACTGCTTCAAAAAAAATTCTAGAATTTGGGGAAATAATTTTTAAGTTAATATAAAAATTAGATAGGCAATCTAGTAAATTAATTTACCAAACTCTCTCTTTCAAATTTAACTTCTGGGCCAGCAGGCAGCACAGTGGTTAAGGCACTGGGTCCCAAATGGCTAACTGCACAGTTCAAGCCCTGGGGGCTTAAAAAACACACCAGGTGTGCATGTGTGTATGCTCAAAATCCTGAGTGGAGAATGAAGGAGAAGGGATTGCAGTGTGGCCATCTCCCTTCTGGGGAGAGCTCTCTCTCTCTCTGTCCAGTGAGCACACATGGCCTACAGCAAAATACTGAAAAACAAAAATATCAAAACCAAAAGAACTTCCTATTTAAATTCAGATTTCAGATGAAAAATTTCAGAATTTAATTATTCCCTGTGAAGAGGACAATGATGATCACAACTGACGGAGCACATTTCCTGTTTCTATACATAAAATTTGTCTGAATACCTTAGGTAATGTCAGTCATCAGAAGTCAAAGTTGAACAACAAATACTGACTCATTAAAACCAGGTACTTAATTCATGCAGCATGCAGACCACAAGCAAACACAGGCAGGAGTATTCTCACCTTTACCTGCTCTATATGTCTTGGCTTGATTCACTGGCATGGGCGTCATGGGTATTGGGTATAAAGGCTTTAGGGAATTAAAAAAAAATAATATTAGGCTCTTGTAATAAGGTATTCTACAGTTTATATTTAAACTCTCCCTTAAGTTTATATTGTCAGAGAGATAGCTCTGAGGTTTCCTAATGTTAAGCTACTATGAAGTAAAATCAGAGCTGGACCCTGGTGTAGCAGCAAAACACGACTCTCTGCTAGGCTAACCCACATGGGAACCTTCCAGATTCAAGTCTGAAGGCACTCCGCAAGTACACAGGCCATGCGTGTGTCCATGTCCCCGTGTTGGCTGAAGTTAGCCCGGAACACGGCATCAGAACCATGTTGGGGTCGCTGTCTCTCTTTCTCTGTGTTGCTCGTGGAAGGAGTGAGGTAAATAAACTTAAAAATAAAAACAAAAACCCACTGCTAAGAGGACAAACCCCAAGCTACGGTAAATCTTTTCCACAGAAAACACCCAGATTTAGGCCTTCATGCTAACATACCAAACCACTGCATGTGTCCCTCTTTCAAATATTCCTGGTTACATCACTGACTGAAGGCCCCACAAACCTAGAGTGCTTGGTGTCAAATACAACCCCTAGAGAGGCTAAAGGAACATCAAATTCTTTGACTTACTTGCACGCCTGGGCTCACTGGGACAGGATACATCATATTTGGTGCAAAACAAACAGGTTGAGTATAAACGGGAGTTGGCTGTTGATGACCCACCATAGATGGGCTAGGTTGTGCTTGAGGCCGAGGTGAAGTTGGGGTGGTAGAAGGTTTTGGCTACAAAAACAAAAATAAAATTGAACTATCTCCAGGTATAAGGTAATTATTGCTGCAATTTGAAGACTGATTTTCCTAATCTTTCTAACTTTTAATTCACTTTAACCAGTCCTTTTCATTGGAGGAAAAAAATTTCCCTATATTTTAATAAAAGATGTTTTTAGTAGATAATGAAAACAAAACTTTACCTATTATTGGGTTTGTTGAGAAAGTTATGACACATTTTTATATAGAAAAACACAGAAAAATAATGTCATGACTTTCCCAACCTAATAAAAATATTAAAAAAGAGGTAGTGTTTTAAGAAACTGGAGAAAGTGTTTTCAAAAAATTATAAATTGATCTTATGAATTCAGCAGAATAGTAACAATAGTATTATCTATAAATCTAATAGCCTAGCCTGCCAATCATCTTCAAATTCTTGAGTCAGAAAGATTTAGACTTGCCTAATATCACATCTAACTGAAGATAAGATAATTTTAATTGTGGCTAAAAATATTCATTAATAACCATATAAGAAGAAAAGAGTTGATTCATTATACTACAATGGAATTTAGTTGACAGGTATAGGAGGAGAAATATTACTAATTATAATAAATACATTTTTTCCAGCGATTACATGACCTCACAGAAAATAATAAACCCACCTGAGAAAAGGAACGAGGGTTGAACTCCTTTGCATTGGGATTCAAGGTTGATTTCCTAACTTGCCTAAACCAGAAAAATATACAAAGGCCAATGAAATCAGCATGGAACTTAACTTTGTCTGAAAGTTTCATTACCTGATAATCTGCTTTTAAAAGCTACACATAGAGTTAAACAATTCTCAACAAAATCATTAATCCTCCTTAAAATACACACACACACACTCTATTGCCCACCCATAAAGAAACTGGCCATAAAAGCATGATTTTTTTAAAAAAATTCTCATATACCAAAGAGACAGAGAGGACAAGAGGAGTGAGAAAGCACCCCCCCATGGGGATGGACACACTGCAATCCTTTCACTTTTGTTCTCCTCGGGATTTTGGACATGCATGCACAAGTGCCTGATGTGTTTTTCAAGCTGCTGGGTTCTGGACTTAAACCATTTAGTTGACCGTGTGGGATTCAGCCACCTTAACCACCAAGTCACTGGCTGGCCCAAAAATACAAAATCAAAAAACAATAACAAAACACAAACCTCATGCATAGTGTTTTAATAATATGCATTTTTAAAAGTTTCTACAGAATGTGTGTGCTTGTTGGAAGAGACAGGTGTAGGTGTAGATGTGTCTGTCTGTGTGTGACAGAAAGCACCCTCCCTAGGGAGACTGCCTTGCTATAATTCCCTCTCTGCCACCTCTTCTTTTAAGATTTTAGGGATCCACCCACACTTGCCTGCCATGCTTTTCAAGTGCTGGATCTGAACTGAAACTGCAGTTGGGATTCAGACACTTTAACTACTGTGACACCAACTGGCCCCAATATTTTTGTTCCTTAGTTTTGTCAGAAGGTATGTGTATTCATCAGAGAGAGACAAATAAAGAGAGGGAAAAAACTACCCCTTCCTCATGGGTCATGGTCACCCCACACTCCTTCCTCCATCTACCTATTCTGTAGGGATCTGGCACACATACACATACATGCCCAGTGTTTTTCTCCAGCCGCTGAGCCCAAGATTTGTACTGCATAGTCGGCCATGTAGAATGTGGCTCCCTGAACCACTAGGCAACAGAGCAAGCCCTCCATGAACTTTCTGAAGATGCCTGGTATATAACTGCTTCTCTCAAAAGGTAATCGAGAGGGATCAGCAGGTGGCATGGTGCTTAAGGTACTGGACACACCCACATGGTCGACCGCAGTTCGAGTCCTGGACCTGGTAGCTTGCTTTCTCACTTTCTTTCTCTCTCTCTCTCTCTGTAACTCTCTCTGTGTCTCTCTCTGGTCAAATTAAAATAAGTAATAATAAATGAATAAACAAAACAACAACAACAAAAAAGTAATCAAGAGCCAGTGGATGACATGGTGATTAAGGTGATTAGATCCCACATGGATAACTGTGCAGTTTGAGTCCTGAACCCAGAGACTTTGAAAACATGCTGGGCAAATGTTCTTGCATGCCCAAAACCCAAAAGAAGGGAGAAATGGAGGAAAAGAGAATGTGGTGTGACTACGCCCCACAGAGGGGGCTTTCTCTGGAGAGTGTGTGAGACCTCTGCCAAAACTTAAAGAAAAAAAAAAAAAAAAAAAAAGGAAATCAACAGGTTCCTGAACAGAAAAGACAGTAGCCCCTTTATAAAATGCCTTTAAGACCAATGGGTAATATACCGCTCTTTAGCAGGCAGTAGCTTCTAATATGACAAGGTATTTTCTACATGCCACACATTGTGGAAAATCTAGGATCTAATAAAAATGTTTGCCTCAAATCAAGAATAAGTAGTTCTCTGAGACCAGCAGGTGGCATGGTTGTTAAAGCACTGAACTTCCTCCACATAGCTGACTATGGTCCAAGCCCCAGATTGAAAGGCTTGAAAATCACCATGGGTACATGTGCATGCATGCCCCGAATCCCAGGAGAATGGAGGAGGGATTGCAGTATGGCAATCCCTGGGGGATGATTTCTCATTTTTCCTCTCTCTTTCTCTCTGGCAAGCACAGATATCCAATGACAAAAACAAAAACAAAAAAGAGTAAGTAGTTTCCAACTTGGAGTCAGGTGGAAGCTCAGTGGAAATGCGACTAAACTCACACGGGAAGAAGCATTCTGGGTCGGCATGCAGGGACCTCCCCGAGCACATTGTGCTTGCCTGTGTGTGTACCCAATTTGAGCGGGCTGAGACTGGGGTGAACTGTGGCATAGAAAAAAGACAAACATAAAATAGGAGCAGAGGTTGGGCTAGTCATTGGCATGGTGGTTAAGGCAGCTGGATCTCACATAGCTGATTGAATGTTTCTGGTCCCAGACCCAGGGTCTTGTAACACACTCCAGGAGCATGTGCATACATGCCCAAAATCCTAAGAGGAGGGGACCAACAGTCAGCATAATGACTATGTCGCTGGACTCCCATGTAGTCGACCACGGTTCGTGTCCCAGACCCAGTGGCTTAAAACTCATGCAGGGGTGCATATGCAATGCATGCCCAAGATCCCTAAAGGAGACTGGAGGAGAAGGGACTGTGGCGTGGCCATCCCTCCGGGGGTGATTTCTCGCTTTCTGTCTCTCTGTCTCTCTCTGTCTGTCTGGTGAGCGCATGCGCCCTATAGCAAAAACCTCTCCAAAAAAAAAATCCTAAGAGGAGAATGGAGAGAGGGTGTGGCCATCCTCCCTGGAAGGTGATTTTACACTTTCTGTCTCTCGTCTCTTTCTGACAAGCACTATAGCAAACAAACAAAAAAATAAAATAAGGGAAGAAGGAAAGATGGACAGATGGAAGGAAGGAGGGAGGGAAGGAAAGAAGGGAGGGAAGGAGGGAGGAGCAAAGGGAGGAAGGGAGGGAGGAGTACAGTGACTAAGTGCCGTGCACTGGGAACTGGATCCCATATGGCTGACCGTGGTTCGGCTCTCAGGTCCAGTAGCTTGAAAAACACTATGGCACATGTGTGTGTATGTGCCTAATCCTGACAGAATGAGAAATGGAGGGAAAGGATTACGGTGTGATGTAACCCCACTAATGGGTGCTTTTGTCTCACTCTGGTGGGTGTACGAGTCCTTTAGCAATGAATAAAAAAGTAGTCCCCAACTCATAAACCAATTGGAATCCAAAAGTTCAACTTTAACTAGGTTTTTTGGTACCCAGAACACACAAATTGATGGTAACTGGGTTCAGAGGCCTGCCTGTATAAGTCCACTTAACAGATAAAATGCTGATTGTAAGAATAAAGTCCATCTTAACAAATCTAAATATCAACTAAACTTTGTTCTGATAGAAAACACTTTGAAATTCCAACTAGGTACTTCTCTAACCATGGTAGTTTTTAGTCCCAGAAGCACAGGAGAGCTAAGTACACAGAGGACACAGAGGGCACAGGTCCCCAAACCTGATCGTTTTCAATTCCCATATAAGTATGGGAAAGCCTTTCTAAATTCATGCCTATTTTTTGTTTTCCCCGCCTTTGGGGTGCAAATGGAGGAGGAGAAAAGGGCAGCACAGGGTATAATGATTCAATTTACTTAAGATGCCATTTGTTTAGACCAGCTGCTCATGAATTAAGGGTTACTTATAAAACAGTCTCCAAGTCCACATAGATTCTTGAGCTGGAAAGGCCAGCACACCTAAGAAGAGCAAGTAAGTTAAATGAATCACAGGAAGATCCGAATTCCAGGATTACTCACTCGGCTGCGTCTTTCTTCTCCTCTTTATCCTCTTTCTCCTGTTTGCATGCTGGACTGGAAGTCTGAACACCTTGGGATGTGACCTCGGGCCCCCTCTTGTGCTCCGCGTTAGTCAGTATCGAAGGGGAAATGCTGGGGCTGTTGGGCTTGCTGCTGCCACTGGTGCAGTTGCTGCTGCTATTTTCAATGAAAGAATCCTTAGCACTGGGTTCAATTTTTTCTTTGACCAAATCTCTTGGTTTTTCTCCCTCTCTATTTTTGCTTAGCAGTTGATCCATAGATTCAGAAGTAGAACTTGGCTGTAACTAAAAAAGCAGATAATTATATTTAAGTATTTTAAATAACTCTGGTAGTCATTTTTGTCCATGAGCATAAGCAGAGTAATATTGTTTGTGCGCATGAACTATTTTGAATAAGATTTTCATACTTTAAGTGTGCTGTTTTTATTGTAAGGCAATGATAACAGAATGTCTGCAGAACACAACCAGTCATCGACACATTCATATGCCCTAGCCTCAAAAGTCAAATATTTAGAGATAGTAATTTAGCATCTGAAGTCCAATCAAGAATATAGTCTCCAGGGTATGTCCGAAATGCCATTCTTGGGTCTGCATATTTCAGAAGACCTATTACAAGTAAATAGTTCATTTATTGCTATCTCAATATGCTAATTGTTAATCAACTTTAAAAATAAGAGAAAAAATTAAGTATTTATTGAGTGCTTCTCTGTCATGTCAGAAGCTGTGCCTGCCAGGTATGGAAAACTATGAAACAGCTCTGCCCTCCAAGATTTGCAATCTGAATGCGACTGGATACTTAACAACAAAATGCAATAAATGGTATGGGATCCTATAGAAAGAACAGCCTATAGAAAAGGAAGGTTTCTCAGTGGCTATATGAGCTAGTCTAAGGAGTGAAAGATATTTAGGATGTCTGGAAACGGTAATAGCCTAAGCAAGAGAAAATGACATTTTCAAAAATGCAAAGGAGGCCCAACCACAGCACAGTGGTAGAGGCAGAAGGGATCTGCAGAGCAAAGCTGGAGGCCACATGCAAAGGCTCTGAGTTTGCACCCAGGTCTACCTGAACACATCGAGTGTGCCTGTGATCCTGGCCAGCTGCAGGGCTGGGGCAAGAACTGCAGCATGAGGTCCCTTTTGTCTGTCTATCTGTCTCTCACACATAAAGGAAATAATTCTTGAAAAAATCCACAGAAAAGGGAGAAGATGGTTCCACCAAGAAACAGAGAAGTACTAGGAACTGGGGCAAATATGGATCAAGAAATGATAAATTCACCCAAGAATGAGTCAATAAAGGAACTTAAGAGCCAAGTATGGAGACTGGCTTCCCACTTTCACGGGATGGGAGGTCACTAGGGAATTGTCAGCCAGGTACAGTACTGAGCAGGTTTACAGCTTAGAGAAGGAGCACAACTGCTTTGTGGGGGACAAATGGAGGGAAGCGAGTGTGGGTGTGGAGACTGTTACGGAGGCTGGGCAAAGCCCTGGGCCTGGGGGTCTTGGAAGTGGTGGGCTGGAAGGTCAGAAGAAGAGGGGTTCAGAGTTAGACCTGAACAGACACAGTGGTCAATAAAAAACAAACAAACAAACAAACAAA